AGGCGGTGCGGCGGGATGTGGGCGGGGCGGTTTCGGGAGATTCAAACCTCGCTTGGCATTTTGCTACAGTGCGCATGCGGCTCCTCATGTAATGTGTTGTGTTGTTGATATCATTTCTACGAAATTTACATTTCGCGGTGTGAGGTGTTTTGTGTTTTATGTGTGAGTTGTGTTGAGTGTATGGCTCCGTCGCTTTGCGTGACGATTTCGCGAACGTCAGGGTTGAAAGACTAATTTATTAAGGACTCAGTGCGATGGTGAGATAAATTGCCGGTTATTTAACTACTTAAGCGGTTATTATGCAAAATTACTTTGTAACACACACTGTCATCTATAACCAAGTAAATTTGTAAAAGTTCAGTAAATAATTTTATGAAAAACTGAGAAAAATTCATAATCAACATGCCAAATAACAGTACAGCAACTACAGGATCATTGACAATCAATTTATTACTTGTAACTGAAAGAACTATGACGTTAGATAACGCTGTCTGTAAATTTAGTACTCAAATATCAATAGACGCAAAAATGGTGGATGAAAACCAGGTTTTCTGTATTAAGTGGTAAAAGTTGGTTCTATTTATTTTCATAAACGTGACCAGCTTCAGAGCGCTGTTTTTCACTCTAAACTCTTGCAAACTTTGTTAAATTTTAAGTACTACTTGTTATTGCCAGACAACCAAATGAAAGGATCGCAGTTACAATCTATTTAAACTGTCTTCAAATACAATGTGTCTACAATAATGAAACGTATAAGTTTGTTTTTTTTTTCAATGTGAATGTGCAATCATTCACTAATCAATCGATTATGGCAGCCTAGGTGCTCGCCGAATATCCGGTATCCGGTAAAATTACTATCCGTTTCATCTCTAATTTACATACTATAAATTACTTCCATACTATTGATCAGCGCCATTTAGATATAAGACGGAATGTTGACCTTTTTCAGAGTTACGATCTGTAGTATGGAGATTAGTAGTCCTCTTGAGCTATTCGTCTATGGCGGTGTTAAATCACACCACCATACCTAATGCGACAAGTATTAGGTAAGCCTGCTAAGATAATTATAATCTTGATAGGATACAATTATGAAACGCAATTAGGCCTATTGTATATACCCTTTGGTAAACAAAACGAACAAACTGATTTGAATCCAGTAAGCATTACTATTATTAATGTTGATACTGATTACATTATTTCCAATTCTTTTTAGAGCTAATGAACGTTTGGCTTAGGAGTTCCATCACTTAGCTTTAGATGGCGCAATGGCGAGCAAAAGACCAGTATTTCATTAATTACAAAATGAACTTTGCTGAAAGTTGTTCCTTTAGTGGTACTAAAATAAATGGAAACTTTAACAGGCTATTAGTTAGTTTTTTGTAAAGAGCTCTCAAAATCTAGAAAGTCTGAATTAAAAACAAATTATTTTTGACCTGCAACTTCCAGAAAATCGTTAGGGATTTTTAATCCTATGTAAAGTAAAACGGAGCGCGATCCCATGAAACGGAACGGATTTGTATGTGCCTTTTTGTTACCAGTGGCCAATGCCATAAAAAATATTGACACATCAGATGTCAAAGTCATTCCTGTTGCAATTTAGTCAGCCAATTACATCGAGTATATAACCAGAAATAGATACGAAATAATGGCCATATACTCCTGGTAACACATTAGCGATACAGCTCTTATAAATATCAACTCTCGTTTGCACTGAAATATAGACAGGCCAACTACTAACCTGTGTGTACGTCTCCGTACATTCCAAAAAATACTGTGTAATTATTGTACCTAATAAAGATAATATCTTTAACAATGCCGTGCTGTTCTATTCGGTGGTGTGGAAAAAACAGCAAAACATCTAATTACAAAACAAACGGAATCACATTTCTTCGGTAATTAAATATTAAATATATAATTTTGCAATTGTCTCTCAGAAATCTTTCGTTTCATCTGACTGTCACTTGTTTTTACATTGTGGCATCATTTTGGAAATTGGTTGTCTACATCACCACGGATTTAACTCGTGAAAATTTTCGTAGTATAATTTTCTACGACTTTAAGTGTAATGTAACAACTCAACCGAGCTTCGCTCGGCTTCAAACTGCTTTTGGCGATGAAGCACAATGCAAGACGACTATTTATAGCTGGTTTGCAGAATTCAAACGCGGACAAATAAACAGACAGGCATGTGACATATCATGAGATTCGGGCATCTTTAGGCATAGGCATGAGTCAAATACAATCAATACTACACAAACATTTGGGTGTGAAAATCTCACACAACTTGACTGAGGCTCAAAAAACGGATCGCGTCACTTGGTGCAATGCCATGCTTACCAGATTGAACGAAGGTCAAATTTGGCGTGGGACATTGTAACAGGTGACGAAACATGGATTTATAGTTACGATCCCAAAACAAAGCAGCAATCGAGCGTATGGGTCTTTCGAGATGAGCCGAAACCAACCAAAGTGACGCGCGTGCAAAGTGCCTCTAAACGGATGATTGCTTCTTTTTTAAATAAAACTGGACACGTGGCTACTATTGTTTTGGAGAATCGTTGTACCGTGAATAGTGATTGGTATACGACCATTTGTTTACCGGAAGTATTGACAAACTCCGTAAAAATAAACATAAACGCCGTATCATCTTGCACCACGATAATGCTAGTTCTTACACGGCCAGACAGACAAATTAATTTTCAAAGGGGAACAACGTTGACCTTATGAGCCATTCCGCGTACATTCCCGACTTGGCACCTTGTGACTTTTACTTATTTCCAAAAATTAAGAACCAGTTACGCGGTCAACGATTTTCGTCACCTGAAGAGGCTGTCGAAGAGTATGAAAAATATGTTTCAGAGATTGTCACGGAGGAGTGGCATAAATGTTTTCAAAATTGGTTCATTCGTATGAAAAAGTGCATTAACGCTTACGGAGAATATTTTGAGAAACAATAAATTCATTTCTGATCATTTATGGTATTTTTTCTTATTCATTCTGGAAATTTATAGTGCGCATCACGTATTACGCCAGAGTCCCTATAGACCTCCACTTGATCCAACATTTTTTTTAATAATACTGTGTTTTAAGTGACTGGACGAACAAGTCGTGCGCTTGGTGGTAAGCGACATGCCTATCCATAACAGTTGTAGTGCTTTTCAGAGCTTTAAATCGCAAAGATCTCGCACTGTCAGTGCGACTGTCACCCTGAGACTTAAGTTGACAAGTCCCATGTGTCTGTAATTTCACCAGCACCCTTACCCTTCTAACCGGGACGCAGTAATGCTCATATTACTGTTTGGCGACAGTGGTGGCAGTACTTCTGGCTGGATGAACTTCACAAGGAGTTCCACTACTACTGCCAGTGCTACTAGATATATGAAGCAAATGAGGTATCATTCGCTTCACCACAGAATTAGAGCTTGAAGAACCGGCTCAGTTCCTAAAATTTTGGTTCCCGGTACAGGGTTTAGTTCGATACCGGTGCTGTCGGTATTCCCTGTACGATTTTTCTGGATTTATCGTACCTATTCAATAATTTACGTTTGAATGATACTACAAATAAAAGGCGAGGCTAGCTACAATCTCAAATTGCAAACAAATGATTGTACAACCTATGACTGTTTCTTTTGTTTACAACTGTTTTTTTTCTCACTGTCGATATCATAAAAGGTAGTTTAAATGTTACGTATAATTACAAATAACATGGGTTTCGAAGACGAAACTATTTTTGACTGACAACCGTGTCAACCGTGACCATGGGACCTGTAAAGGGCCCGAAACGTTGGTTTGTTTGAAAAAACAAATATAAGCGATTTAAATCAGGAAAAACATGTGTAACAATCGCGAAACCCTAAGAACTCGATATATAAACAACATTTTAAACGTTAATTTTCCTTCAATTTTATTTTGTTTGGGATAACAACAGCCATACTTAATACAATTCTAACGTTTATCTCTTTTTGGATAGGCCATTTACAGTTATCCAGCCATCACCTAATTATTTCTGTTATTATAATTAAAACCCGTGGTAACCTAATGGTTTGAACTACTGCCTCACAAGCAGCGGCATGGGTTGGAATCCGGACTCCCATCTCCGAGTTTTTCGGAGTTTATATGCGAAATTTAATTTGAAATTTACCATGAGCTTTTCGGTGACATCGTGATGAAACCTGGTCGTCTTAGAAGGTTGACAATTCTCGGAACACGTGTGAAATTCACAACCCGCATTGGGCCAGCGTGACGGACTATACATCGCACTTGACTACTAACATAGTATTATCTCAAAAATAGCGTTACTTTTTTTTAAATTTTGCTATATTTATGTGTCATTCATATACGATTTAGTTTCAAAGTGACAGGACAACACTGTCGCTTTAAAACGAAATAGGTAATATTAATATATCGCACTATTAACACAGTGTATTCACTCAAAAAGTGTATTTTCTGAGAATCGATGAAAAACTAATAACTCACTTCCCGTGAAAGATCATTAAAATTGATGTATAGGTTATACTTTATTATAGATATCTAAACAATTTCCTACTTGCAAATACTTTTACGAATAAAAGGGGAATACATTTAACAATAATTTCATATTTTCTTTGAAATAAGGGCTTTTTTGGCCAGAACTGGCTCACATAAAGCATGTCTCATTTTGAGATAAGTAAATATATTTTAACTTTTACTCACATTATTCTAACGACGGTTTTATTAACGTTTAGAGAATCACATTTTACGTTTAGTAATGATTGAGTCTTAAAATTCACATATTTTGGGTTACAACACTATTGTAATAGCTGTGCGATATCTTAAAGCCATTTTGAGATAATACTATGTTAGTTGTCATGTGCGATATATACTATGACCTAAAACCTCCGCCTGAGAGGAGACCCGTGCCCAACAGTGGGACGTAAAAATGGGTTGATGATGGGTATGAACTTTAAGGACTTGGATATTTGCTTTACATTGTTGCTAAATGTTATATTTATATTTCACAGAAATAGCTGCAAACTTCAAAGTAGTGTGAAAATGTTATTATTACCGGTGCAAAAAAGCAACGAACGTGCATTGAACCTGAGACTTTTTTTCTTCGGAGTTTCATGGATCCATTTGATAATAGTAGCTTTGGTGATTTTGCCTGTAGACTTCTCAATGGACCAAGATCCAAAGGTCAAGAAATATTCCAGCATGAGATTTAAATTAATAACTGTTTGGTTTAATGTAAGTACATTTATTTTTGTTACTTTCACATATCGGCAAAGTTAAAGTTAAATATTTAACTCAACTTGAAACTCGTTACTTAGAATTACCCCTAATATCTTCCTGTGTAATCCTGGTTTCATTACGTAGTATTTTTAACCAACTTCAAAAAAGGAGGAGGTTCTCTTCTCAATTCGACTGTATATTTTCTTTTTGTTACGATAACGCCATTAGTGAACCGATTTTGATGATTCTTTTTTTTGTTGGAAAGTGGGTATCCCAAGAGTAGTCCCATTTAAATTTTAAGAAAATATTCCACCTCTAAGGGCGGCAAACTAGGGGATGAATGACTTTTGAGGTCGGTTTTTTTAATACTCTGTACTGAGATTATGTTCTATACATATTTTTATGTATAACTAACAATTACTTTGCTATAGTAGTGTATTTAAAAGAAAAGTTACATACATACATACATGTCATGACACCTGTATTTTTTATAGTATCAAGTAATGGGACAAACAAATGGTAAACGACACGCCTGTCCATAACAGTTGTAATAATTTCACCCTTTCTCTTCAAAACCGCAACACAGTAATGATCACATTACTGCGTGGCGGCAGAAATAGGTAAGGTGGCAGTACTTCCCTGGACGAACTCTTTCACAAGGAGTTCTACTGCTACTAAAACCACCGGGGTAGGCAGTCTATAGACCTTTACCTGCTACGCTCCCGACAAACCCCCTTCGACTCCTCTACTCCCATCAGTCTCTTCAAACAATATAATTATGCTCATCAAAACTGTTTCTGCCAATTACTGAAAGTCAGATTGATTGATGATTTTTTTAACACCAATGGGTGTTTTGATCAATTTCATAATTAAAAAAATAATAATTTAATAAATTTATATTCAATTTTAATTTACTATTTTTATTTAATTTTAGTACAATAATAAAAAAAATACCTTTTATCTCATTTGATACACTTTTGATGCGCGTAAATAAATATTAGACAACATCACATACGTTGCTCCGAACCCAAAATAAGTACAGAAGCACTTGTGTTATGGAAATCGGAATAAACGACGGTACCACAAACATTCCGACCCGAAACAATATACAAAAGTTAGTTTTCTACATTGTCCCGGCCGCGGATCGAACCCGGGACTTCACAGGCCTTATACATTTCATAAACACCACAGTGCTTTTGAAACTACTCCATAATCGGAAATACTAATGCGAGAGACAACATAGGAAGTTCTAAGAAAATCAAAATTTACTAGTCATCAATCAATAATTATACGTGAGGCGCACTATAAGTTTCCGGAATGAATAAGAAAAAAATACTATAAATGGTCTTAAATTAATTTATTGTTTCTCAAAATATTCTCCGTTAGCGTTTATGCACTTTTTCATACGAATGAACCAATTTTGAAAACATTTATGCCACGCCTCCGTGACAATCTCTGAAACATATTTTTCATACTCTTCGACTGCCTCTTCAGGTGATGAAAATCGTTGACCGCGTAACTGGTTCTTAATTTTTGGAAATAAATAAAAGTCACAAGGTGCCAGGTCGGGACTGTACGCGGGATGGCTCATAAGGCCAACGTTGTTCACCTTCAAAAATTAATTTGTCTGTCTGTCTGTGGCCGTGTGAGAACTGGCATTATCGTGGTGCAAGATGATACGGCGTTTACGGTTATTTTTACGGAGTTTGTCAATAACTTCCGGCAAACAAATGGTCGTATACCAATCGCTATTCACGGTACAACGATTCTCCAAAGCAACAGTAGCCACGTGTCCAGTTTTATTAAAAAAAGAAGCAATAATCCGCTTAGAGACACTTTGCGCGCGTGCCACATTATTGGTTGGTTTCGGCTCATCTCGAAAGACCCATACGCTCGATTGCTACTTTGTTTTGGAATCTTAACTATAAATCCATATTTCGTCACCTGTTACTATATTCCACACCAAATTTGACGCCCCTTCGTTGTATCGGGTAAGCATGGCATTGCACCAAGTGACGCGATCCATTTTTTGAGCCTCAGTCAAATTGTGTGGTATCCACCGAGAGCATAGCTTTTTCACACCCAAATGTTTGTGTAGTATTACTCGTGTATATGTAGTATTAGTCGTATTGTATGGTGCTTCATCGCCAAAATCAGTTTGAAGCCGAGCGAATCTCCGCTGAGCTGTTAATTTACACTTAGGGTCGTATTCTAGAACTCTACTCAATGCTCAAGTCAGGATTGCAATGGAAACACAAGCACTGGAAATACGACCCTAAAGGGACTTAAGTATGATTTCGAGTGCTTTAAACCATACTCAAATCCTGACTTGAGCATTGAATAGAGTTCTAGAATACGACCCCTAAAGTCGTAGAGAATCATACTACGAAAATTTTCACGCGTTAAATCCATGGTGATGTAGACAACCAATTTCTAAAATGACGCCACAATGTTTAAACAAGTGACAGTCAGATGAAACGAACTGTATTCTACAGCCAAAGAGTTCCATTTTCAAATGTTGTAATTTTTAAATATTGTTTTGTAAGTGGCCAGTTCCGGAAACTTATAGTTCGCCCTATGTATGTATAAGTACAAAAGTATAATAGAACACATCGCATTGTTAATACAATTATATTAACTCAAAAAGAGTATTTTTTTCAGAATTTATGAAACACAAATTATTCAAAGATTAATAAAATTTATATTACATTAAAAATATAGGTTTACACTTTATAACAGATATCTAAACAATGTCCTAAAAAGGGAATTAAATATTTCGTCGTTTTGAGTAAGGACTGTTCTATCCAGAACTAGCTCACAAAAATGTTCTCTTATTTTGAGTTAAGTAGATATCTTTTAATTGTTTCTCACAATATCCTAATGACGGCTGTATTGACGTGTAGAGAATCAAATTTTACGTTCAGCAATGGTATAATCTTGAATTTCACATATTTTGAGTTACAACACTTGTAATAGCAGTGTGATATATTTAAATACATATTCTTAAAATGTTATAATTTGACACTAAGTGGACGAAAAAAGTAGTTGAAAATTAGTAGTCGTCGGGCAAATTAATTTCTGTCCGGAAAGACGTCCGCGTTAATATAAAAAAATTGACTACGAAATCTTCTCAAATGTTTGCGATTTCAAATTCATCATTACTGTTTAACAAGCAAAATAAGATTATTTAATAAATATAATTATTGTTTTGAATGTTACCAATACACAAAGTCACAACTTGATGATGTTCTGCGACTGAGCCCTATGGACACGCGTGTTGCGTACCAGCAGGCGCACGACTTGTTCGTCCCGTCACTTGGTGTCATAAAAAAAACAATATTATAAATTAAGACAAAAAAAAAACGTTTCCATATAAGAATATGTATTTCCGATAAGTTAGTATTTCACTTGTACAAACTAAAGCAGTTTCGCCGATGATGTTTGGCTGGACGACGAGCACTTCTATTTCAGCGTTAGTGCGGACTCTCCAGCTACCGTTCTCCCGTTGGACTGGCCCTAATATTTTCCTGAGAACCTTTCCCTTAGCCACCAGGAGTTTGTTCTCTGTTTTTTATGTGTGAGTGTCCATGCTTCACAATCGTACGTAAGAATGGGCCTTATGAAATAAATTGTAAAAAGAATTCGATATTTTGTAGTTGTTATTTTTTGGAAGTACATATTTTTTTGAATGATGAAGACACAATTTAATTTGTTTATAAGTAAACAAAACACAGTCGTTTAAAGATTGGGATTATTGACTTGGTAGGTCAATGATTGGGATGTTAAAGCAACTATAACTATGACTTTAGTGAAGGTGACGCAATACGATAAATACATTTTTGTTGCAGTTCATTTTATTAGCATACTTCCCGGTGTGTTTCTACTGCGATTGGAAAGAGAAGTGCAATCAGGAGAACTTACAACATGTCGCTGTATTGAGAAAAATCCGGGACGTTGTGTTCACGTCAATATTATTTCCAACTATAATGGTAATTTTGTCTCATTGTAATTTGCCTCAAGTTTATTTCGAGAGTAGTTCGTTAGACCTTCACATTTAATTTAAAGGATACAGTTTACAGTTACTGCCTCCGTGGCCGAACGGTTACAATGTCGGACTGCCACGCAGAGGTCCCAGGTACAATTCCCGGGCCGGGAGAAGTATTTGTATGGCTTACATTTATTTCTCTCGTGAGTTTGAGTGTAATTTGTAGTATCCATGGCACCCGCGACACAGGGTTTCCCTAGTGCGGTTGTTGAGTGTCTGCGTTATTATTATTATTATATCTATGAAGGGGTCTTCATCGATTCAGAACTCTTCGATGTTTTAACAGAATCGTTCGATTAGATATCGTTCTCGAATCGAAGGGCGCTTTCAGAGCTATTCAGAATATTCGGTTCGGATACGTTATCCAACAGCGTTTACGGAGTTAGCCGGTGAAATAGGTTATAAGAGAAATGAAAACCCTTTTATATACATTTTTAAGAATTTAAATGCCTAAAATATAGAAATGCATTAAAATAAATTAATAAAATTGAACAAAATCACATAGTTTATAATAGTTTAATGTTAAATATGGTTTTATATAATTTTGGATTTATGCACGTAACCCCGTTATTACAATTATTTTGCCCTGTATTTAGGTCTGCAGAAATAAATTTCTTATAGAAATGAGCAGTGGCTTTTGTTTGTGTTTTCCTTTTAATTAATATATTCTGTGCTTTTTCCTGTCCAATAAATGTTATTTAAAAAAAATCCAGACTTTATTCAAAAGAGTAAGAGATTTTCATATTACATTTTAGCTTTGTAAACAATAGGACGTTCAGTACCTTTCATTCGATAACTGTGTTCTGAATAACGATTGCCGGTCGAGAAGTTCGATTAACGTACGGGTGTGATTTTATTTCGGTTCGGTTTCCGACAGTTTGACGTTCGATTCGGGTGTTGTGAATAAAAATTAAAAGAAATCATACGATATCAAATCGAATCGGTCGACAACTGAGCTATCGTAAGGTTCTGAATCGACCTACTGATCACCAAGATATTTATATCTAATAATAATATAATTACAATAAGCCTGATGTATCCCACACCATTGCTGGGCAAATGCCTCTAATAATAATAATAATATGGTTTTATTACCATGATATTAATATTTTTGTGAATAAACGCCACTAGTTTTGGTGCCCTTATTGATTGACATAAAGACCGAAACAACGAAAAATTCCTTCGATCCGGCTGGATTCGAACCAGTACTTGTGTGCCAGACTGGGGGCTAACTGCTCTCCCAACTGAGCTACCGATCTGTATTTTATATATTTAAACGGCTTCTTTGCTGTGGCGTCATCTGTGGTGTGTGAATATAATATGTATTAACATGTTAGTCCAGTAGGGATAGCAAGATTGCATGGGCGATATATATGCGCGAGGTATTGTTTATTACCTATGGGCATCGAGTTTATAACCAGAAATAGAGACGAAATAAGGCCCATATATACCTGGTAACACATTAGCCATACAGCTCTTATAAACATCAACTCTCGTTTGCCATATAGATAGGCCAACTACTGACCTGTGTGTACGTCTCCGTATATTCCAAAAAATATTCTGTATTTATTGTAATAAAGATAATATCTCTAACAATGCCGTGCTGTTCTATTTGGTGGTGTGGGAAAAACAGCAAAACATCTAATTACAAAATAAACGGAATCAAATTTCATCGGTAATTAAATATTAAATATGTAATTTTGCAATTTTCGTCCATTATAGCAAAGCTCAAGGTAACTGGTCAATATGAAGTGAAACAGTGACGACACCCGTCATTTTTTTCGAACTCGCGAACTCGGGCTAGCCAATCGGAGCGCAGTTGTCACAGTAATGATATGGCAGAATAGTTTTCAAACAAATTAAATGACATTTCGCCTCTATTTCTGGTTATATACTCGATGCTTATGAGAGTATAGCAAGTATATTGCGCAAGTCGCGCCCTGTCATGCCAGCCCAGTACAGATAAAGCATCAATGACAAAAAGAGAGTATGATGACCTGACATGATATATACCTTCAATACAATTCGTGACACTATCTGTAAAATTTGGTAACTTGTTTCTTGGAAACTTTCTTTCTTGAAGTTTGTCATGTAACATTTCTTGTTTGTATTGGTCTATCGGATTCATATAGGTTATATAAGTTGGAAGGGCAAAAGAGTAAGCCAAAATCTGCACAGCCTTTCATAATAGCTGTTGATGAAGACAATTAATTCAGTGAACCGATGAAAATTATTCGATCAAGTTTCGTTTACTTATTGAAAAATGTTAGTATATTTTGAACATCGCGTATATAACTAGAAATAGAGACGAAATGTCATTTAACGTTTGAAAACTATTCTGCCATATCATTATTGTGACAACTGCGCTCCGATTGGCCAGCTCGAATTCGAAACAATTGACGAGTGTCGTCAATTGTTTGACTTCAAATCGTCCGGTTTAACTTGAGTTTTGATAAATGGACAAAAATTTAAAAATTACATATTTAATAACCGATGAAATGTGATTCCTTTTGTTTTGTAATTAGACGTTTTCCTGTTTTTCCCACACCACCGAATGCGACAGCCCCCATAGTTAGAGATATTATCTTTATGACAATAAATACAGACTATTTTTGGAATATACGGAATTCTTAGCACTGTACTGTGCAGCTTTCTAATTTGTGATTTCAGTGTAAACGAGAGTTGATATTTAAAAGTGACACAATGCCCATTTGCATGGTGAATTGCCAGGGATGGATGGCCCTTATTTCGTCTCTATTTCTAGTTATATACTCGATGATTTTGAATGAAGATGATAATTACTTTGTTGTAACAAGTATATCGGCAAAACTTTAACATTCTTAACTACTAATAAGCCTAAAAACCATATTCTAAACTAAAGCCAATGACAACTTGCACGTTGATTCAGCTACAGTATCATCCTTAATATGTATTTGTAATTTCGATTTTCAGTTCGCAGATATACTGTTTTGGCCATTATACTACAAGGACGTAAACCTAATAACACCAGGAGCTGTATTCTCATACATACCTGCATGGTGTCAGCATTCACTACACACTGTCTCTATCATGACATCCGTGATAGACCTATGTGTGGTGTCCAGGAAACGACCTAAGAGCTTAAAGCCTAGGTTTCTGCTCATGTCGTGCTTTTTACTTACCTATACGCTCATGTAAGTACCTCATAAATATACTTATGTTGATAAGGCTGAAGTTTATTTAAAAAAATCAAACTAACCATGAAGTTGACTATTGCACGTATAGATTTTTTCTACGTGTAGTTCAGGCTCTGACTCTAACTTACGAAAGTTTACTTGAAAGAAATTAAATCGGCTACGGTATGATGTGCTCGCTGGTTCGAGTCCAGCCGGATATATATATATGTCGGAGCCAAATATCACTTTAAACAGAATTCGATTTATTGTTTACCTAATGTGCTTTGCAAAAGGATAAATCTTAATTAATAATAGGGGTTAATGATTTCAATATGAAATTGCCGATATATGGTACTGGCCACTTTGAATTGAAAATAAACCTGCATTATGTCAGATTTCAGAATGAAACTTTTTTCCCACGAAAATTAAAACATTCTTAATTTAAAAAACATGATATTTGATTGTAGGGTTTTCAATTGTTTTTACATTCAGCTTTTAACGTGAAGATGGCTACAGCGTAAATCGGAGTAATTTTCGAATACGAGTACCCACATGGGGTTAACGAACGCACCTTGCGTTTTTCGGCAATTTTCGAAATTTCAACTTGAATGAACCACGAGGATGGCCAGTCACTGAGGTAAATAACGATGAATTAAAGGTGATGATGGAAGCCGATCCGTATCAAACTAGAAAGGAATTAGCGGCATGGTTTAATGTTAGCATACCACAATATGACATATGGCATTTGTACAATGACGGCGAAACTCGCAGCAAAATAGCTTCGCCATTATCGCTCTATGATAACGCAACACTGCTCGAGAAACAGTTTTAATACTACAAGTACTGCAGTTAGAAACCATCCTTCATCCTATATGCTCGCCGGACCTCGCCACAATCGACTACCATTTTTTCCGCGTTTTGGACTATTTTTTACACGGAAAAAAATTTCTTCCCAGAAAGCAGTACAAAAGGCCTTCACACAGCTTGGAGTCCAGATTCCGCGAGCTCTATCGTAGAGATTTAAATGACTTTCTGATTTGGAGGCAGGAATAAATATTTTTGTTTAATTAAAGTATTTACCCTCCTTGTCGATACATTATACGAGTATTTATCTTCTAGAAAAATAGTTTTAATTTTACAGTACGAAATGGCAATTTCATACTTTAACCCCTAATATTATCACGTGTTGGTTTCTAATTATTAGAGAAACGAATTACTAAGCTATCTACGAACCGCATTAACTAGTTCGGTTATGGTTCTTTGTTTACAAATGACACGTCAGATTCACAGCTCAAACTGGGTAAGGTTGCAGAGGCGACGGCGCTGTTAGAAGCTATTCAGCATAATTAGCTGTCTAACGTGGTTCTATGACATGATAGTCATTAGCAGTTGTCTTATGCAAAATAAATAGTGAAGTCTATGGTCAAGACTTTTTGTGCGAGAGACTGAAAAAGTGCGAGCGCGACAGACACTGCAAACTCGCCGCGTGATATTTAAAATCCATTTCAACCTGATCCATCTTTTTAGCTTTCAAACTAATTACTGTGAATTTACCGCCGGCTTAACAAATTGATAACGTAAAGTGAATTTGTCAATTATCAAGTGTCTCACCTCACATCGGGATATTCAATAAACTTAATATTAGAACGAAATTTTATTTGCTTATAAACATGGTGAACGAAAGATGGACCAGTATTAAAGTAGAACCCGTATTTCACCTGATTCGGCATCCAAAATTGTTGAAAAATTGCCTCTGGAGTATTGTACCAGAACTTTTGAATTATTTTGGGTATAATTCATACAATAAAATTGTGTTAATGATTAATCCAAAGCCATGAATAAATCCATACATTATATTATAATACTAGATTATAATATAATACAAAGTTGTTCACATCGTTTGGATATAATAAAATGAAAATTGCATATATTATAATATTATTAACATTATACTTTTATTGTTTTCAGAGTAGGGCAGAGCTACGTTAACGGACACATGGTGTATACGTTGTTTGAAGTTTTAACTGGATTTCAGACTGTATTATTAGTAATAATTTCTTATTTGGAATGTTCTTTCTTTTTTATTTTACAATGGTATGTTATTGATTATATATGGAATAAACCTAAAACTCATTAGGTAATTCGTTGAAATGCATTTGTAATGGATTAGCTAGAAAGTCTTTGCGGTATTGCCACTAGATAATTTTATACAAAAAATAAATTTTCTTTTAAAATATGTATTGTTTATGGTCATTTTAAAAATAAAATTCTAGCGCGCACTTTAAGAATAGGTATAGGTATTAAGTTTATAATTCTAGGAAAATCCACATAATTGTTGGATTGTTAAGGCATAATAATAAATTCCGATTTTATTTTTAATGTTTTTCATTTATACTTTGATACCGTACGGACTTTTTGGCTAACCCAATAAATTATTTTATCCTCGATATAACGGGTATTAAAGGATTGGGGATGAAGCAATTTTACTATTAAAAACTTTATTACCTTGTAGGAAAAATAAGTAATTTAATATTAAATATTGTACTTTACAATGTAATTGTATTTTTTTTATAAATAAATACAATTACATTTTTGTCATTTGTCACACGTTGCTTTGAACCCAAAGTAATTAAGTAGCTAAAGAGACAATATAGAAAAGTTAGTTTCTACACTGATCTGGCCGGGGATCGAACCCGGGACCTCAGAGATGGCAACACCATGAAAACCGGTGTGCAAGTCACTCGAACACAGAGGTCGTCAAATTATATAAATAATACCAGGGGACGGGACGAACAAGTCGTGCGCCTGGTGGGAAGCGACACGCCTGTCTCTAGCAGCTGCAATGCCACTCAGAGCTAGATCGCAAAGATCTAAGGGGCACTGCCACTGCGCCCGGTCCGTCATACTGAGACATGAGTTGACAAGTCCCATGTGCCTGTAATTTCACCAGCACTTTAAAACTGGAACGCAATAATGTTCACATTCGTGTTTGTATACTAATGTAATTTATTTTGATGGTATTATGTTTCCCAGAGTTCGGTTGAGGTAGGTTGACGTAAAATATTATAAAGTATCATACTGTCCGAGGGTATTGCACTGAAAATACACGTGTAAATAATGTAAGCGTGACAATGCGCATGATCATCAACTTATTTAGGTTAAATAATGAAATACCTAATGTACTCCTCAGCATACTACTTGCGATAAATTAATAATAAAAAGAAGCAATTATATTTTCTAATGTTAAGTGGACACAAAATTTTGTACATTGTCAATATTTTAAATAGTAAGTAGATAATATGTTTATTTATGAATTGTAGCAACAGAGAAAAAATGAAGTATTTGTAATAACATTAAAATAAACTCAATACTACTAACACGCGAATGTTTATTGTCACACACAAGCACAGACACACAAACAAAAACACACACATACACCACGCACTCACCCATCCACGAACGCATACAGTAAAATATATAATATATATTTCATATTTAATAATGTACCTATCTATAAAAATTGTTAAGAAATAGGCTGCGTCGAATTTTTGAGAGAGGATACTGACTCCTGTAACACTGGATCAGGTGACAGGAACTACACTACTGTGTTCTAAATATTTTGCATAACAATAAACATTATTATTATTATGTTTGATATCAAACTTTCAGACTGTTCAACATGCGAGAGAATGAATATTACGTCTATAAACTAATTTTATTAGAGAAATGTTTTCGAATATACAATATAATAATATGTTTTTATATTCAGTTTGAATACTCGTATTTAAGTAAAAAAATGATGCATTCATATGTCATTAAGCGCGATTCAACTTATTTACTTATTAATTCATGCGAAACTAACAGCTCCAAAACACTTTATAAAAACAGGAATAAAAAAACACAGCTAATTATAGGTTTCCACTTGCAGTTCCATACAAATCATTTACGACCAAAAACGAATAATAAACAACATGAGTTAACAACATACAGTTCAGTGAAGAAAACAACCCAATATCTGCGTCAACGGTCATGAATTGGACTTAGTTAAACAAAAAGGATCCAATGCACATCCAGTCACTTTAAAGATATGGCAGTTTGAAGTTTAAAAGTATTTCGCATTTTATTTTCAAAACTTATACTGTCATGTAACTCCAGATATATTTATTTATGTTTATATGTTGGGTTTTTTTGCTGATCTAAGAGGTTAGACTTTAGGAACCGTTAGGTACATATAACTCACTTTTTCATAATTTTGTGGATTGGATCCTTACGTACGTTAAGAAAACTTAACTACGTTCAATTACTCAATACAATTAGTAAAAATGTCTGTGAGTTTACGCTTTAGCGCATTAACGTTGCAATTAAATATATCAACATCTAGATCAAGATTGCTCAGTTCGCTATCTAAACTCTTGCTAGCTTTATAAAGGAAACTATTTTGTATACATATAATTAGTCTGCGCTAAGGGAAAAATTATCTTGAGTCATCATATTCTACATTTTTTTTATGATAGCAAGTGACGGGACGAGCAAATCGCGCATGGTGGTAAGCGACATGCCTGTCCATAACATTTGCAGCGCCATTCACAGCTTTAAATCCCACTACCACGCCCATCACCCTGAGACGTAAGTTGACAAATCCCATGTCCCTGTATTTTCACAAGCAAAAATCGCCTATCACAGTTCACACTTGTACATGTAGGCCTTTTACAATGTGCGCTATTTCGCCCGATCCTCAGCTTGTCGCATGCATCGGCTGCAGGGCAGCCTTTCGCAGATCGTCATTCCATCTAGCCAGAGTGCGTTCCTACCCTGTTTTTTTATAATATCAAGTGGCGGGACGAACAAGTCGTGCGCCTCATGGTAAGCTACACGCCTGTCCGTAACAGTTGCACTATCACTCAGGGCTTAAAATCGCACAGATCTGAGGAGCACTGCCACTGCGTCTGGCCCGTCACGCTGAGACGTAAGTTGACAAATCCCATACTCTTCAAAACCGGAACGCAATAATGCTAACATTACGGTTTGGCGGCAGAAATAGGTAAGGTGGTAGTACTTCCCTAGACGAACTCTTTCACACTGCTGCTACATATTTGCCCAAGCAGTAGTCTCCAGCTACGAATGCCTTTCCTTCATCGGTTATCGGTTCTTCGACAGATATGACCACCCACTGCTACCTCAGCTTGCATTGCACGACCTAGATTCTCTGTTGGATAACTTCATTTCGTATCATATACCTACCCCTTTCCATAGGTCGCCGAGTGATGGTTGGTAGGTGTATGGTAGACTAAGCTTATCGTGAGTGCCTATATCTCGGCTCCGTGTGTCAAAAGGGTAGAACGCAGTGATCGAAAACCTTTGTCTTCAAACTTAGTGAGTGTCGAGAAGAACCAACGTACCATTATTAGGCCGTATAAATAGCCAAGAAAACTCACTCATGATGATACTGGCCGCGCAGCACGATGATGATGACTGATCAGACAATGCGGGAGCAAAAACTACAAATTTATTAATAAACATTGCGGTGTAATTCGATTCTATTTTTAAAGTTTCTTTGGTTCCATTATTGGAAACGATGATTCCGCCAACGTCATTCGGACGGAAGATTTTGGGTACGTAGTTTTTTCCGTGCATTCTTGGTTTGCGGTAAGCCTTTTAGGTACTTAGAAGGTTTTTGACCTTTGCTATTAAAACGGGGAAATTTTTACGATTAAAAGGAAATTATGTATTAACAACACAGGTGATTATATTGTACACGGGCGATCAAAGAGCCTGACATCTACTGTATGTTCCAAAAAGATTTTAGTGCGTAACCAACCGTATTATCATGTACCCTCTGTATTGGAAATGTATTTTTCCCTGTTTTCGTAGTATTCTTATCTACCAATAAAAGTATCTACAACATTAGCATATGGAACAGTAGAGCTCCTTGTGAAAGAATTCGTCCACCTTACCTATTTCCGCCGCCAAGCAGTACTGTCAGCATTACTGTGTTACGGTTTTGAAGGGTAAGGGTGTTGGTCAAATTACAGGCACAGTGGACTTGTCAACTTATGTCTCAGGGTGACGGGGGCAGTGGCGGTGCCCCTCAAATCTTTGCAATTTAAAGTTCTGAGTGATACTGCAACTGTTACGGTCAGGCGTATGGCTTACCATCAGGTGCACGACGCGTTAATCCCGTCACTTGATATTAAAAAAAGAAATAGATAACACAGACTACCTACTATTTCATAATTGTCGTGAATAAATACGTATCAACATTAAGGCGCTTTGCAAACGTCGACACTTTGCTGTCTGGTGATGGCAATCGGACACTGGCAACATTTCGGTGCTTAAATTCCCGAATGTTCCATCGGTATCACGATTAATGTCGATGAAGAAACACTTATTTTGTTTGTTGTGCGGTTATACGTCGTCGCAGACGTCATCGTCGTCATATAAGGAAATCAACCATGTTTGCAGTAGTTTCTAGTCGCTTACATCGGACACTTTTTGCCTGGTAATCGGTGTGTGTATCCAGTGGAAGCAACTGGAAACAGCAGTATCTGCGTCATCGCATAATGTTACTACAAAGGACTGTATATTTTTATGGAAAAGAAACGGTTGATATCGTACTTTAACTATTTATTTTTAAAGTCAACGAGAAGAAATCAAAGGAAACCAAAGGCAATATTAAAAATAGTATAAAAAAGGTTGTTTTTATTTGAGTAAATTTGGGAAAGAACTTTTTCCAAGTTCGTTCTGGTCTGGGTGTTCTGGGAATTTGTAGCAGCAGTAGAGCTCCTTGTGAAAGAGTTCGTCCAGTCCAGAAGCATTGCCACCTTTCCCATTTCTACCGCCAAGCAAGATACGTGAAGCAGTTACTGCATTCCGGTTTGGAAGGCTAAGGGTGCTGGTGAAATTACAGGCACATGGGTCTTGTCAACTTATGTCTCAGGGTGACGGGCGTAGTGGCAGTGTCCCTAAGAGCGGTTACACACCCGACTTTAAACAGCGATGCAAACGCGATATAAACACGATGCACGTTTTAAATTAATTAAGTAATTTATTTATTTTAAGTATTGATCAATTTCACTTTTATATTTAGTATTAACAAACAAACAAAATAACGTGCATTAGCCTGTACAGATTTTTCGTACATAATTATTCAACATAAGCGACTGTATCGATGCAGTCGCGCGTTTGCCTCGATGCAATTGTTTATAAATCGCATGTGTAGCGATGCAATCTCGCGTTTCACGAACGCGCGTTTGCATCGTTACTCAACATCGCTGTATGTAACCACTCTAAGATCTTTGCGATTTGAATCACTGGCACTGAAATTATTATGGATAGGCGTGTCACACCACATGTTACCACACGGTATTATAAAAAAAGTGTCCCAAAGTTAATTCCGTTGCTCTGGCTCTCACGGCGCAGGGAATTTTCTAGTTTGAGAGCAGGTAATTGGCTTGGTTGTATGGCACATTAGTATATTGTTATTATAAAACAAAAAAAAATAAGCTAACTACTATTATTTTTATCATTATAGTTACTGGTTGTTTGTACCCGACACGAGTCACGTGAAGTATCTACGTTTGCACGATGGCATAGAACCAATGGAAATAGATGAAACCGGAGGAGGCCCACAGTCGACACTTCAATTTTTCTAACTAAAATTGGCGCTTTCCAGCTTTCGCAATTCTGTCTTCGTGCTTATCGGTCATTCGCGCAAATGAACCATCGCGCTGTTAAGCATTCGCGCATCTGACCATTCGTGAAAATAAGCCGTCGCGCATTCAAGTTTTCGCTCAACGGTCTTCGAACTATCATTATTCGCGTAATCATCATTCACACACACCACACCTTCACACACACCACACCTTCACACACCCTCCTATACATAAGATTAACAAATAATATTGTTTGGCGAATCTTATGAATACCGCTCGTTAGTTACACTTTCGGAGCACGTTTTTTTTGATAACTTCGCTAATATTTTTTGTTTTTTTTTTTTTGCTTCTTTTTTTTGTCACAGACACACATTACTGCATATGTATAACCACTTACTTCTTCAAAGTATAATTATCGACAAAATATCTTTTCATGTTATAGCAATCTACGAACTTTGTTGTTCCAATATTTTGTTTTTTAACGCACCTGTATCGCGGGTGCCATAGATAACCCATAAATTACCCAAACTCAAGAGAGATATAACTGTAGGGCATACAAATATTTCTCCCGGTCCGGGAATCAAACCCGGGACCTCTGCGTGGCATACCAGCACGGTAACCGTTCGGCCACGGAGGCAATTGGTGTCTTTGGTACCGATACAAGGTAACTTTAGTTAATATTCATATTCATTTGCAACCAAATACATCAATATTCATTAAAAGAATATTTAAATGATTACTTATTGTATATTATAAAGTTAAAAGATTATTAATTAGATTAAATAATTATATTGGACTAAATACCTTTCTGTCTATATCCCCAGACACTGCTACGCCCTTCAGGATTCCATTTGTTTGATGTACATAGAATCATTAAGGATGCCTACTATGTGAATTGCAATTAACATAATCTCAGTTCAGAGTGCTAAAAAACCGACCTCAAAATCCATTCATTCCCTAGTTTGCCACTCTTTGAAGTGGATTATTTTCTTCAAATTTAAATGGGACCACTATTGAGGTACTCTCTTTCCAACAAAAAAAGAATCATCAAAATCAACATACAAAAAAAACATATACAGTCCAATTGAGAACCTCCTCCTGTTTTTGAAGTAGGTTAATAATAAATAAATACCTAATTTCCATGTCGATGTTTGACATAGCTTCGAGACGCAAAAGTCTCACAATCTCAGTCTTGATCTTGCTACAATTAGGTGAGGTTAGTTTTTTTATAACACCAAATATCGTGCGCCTGGTGATAAGCGACACGCCTATTCATAACAATTGCAGTGCCACTTAGAGCTTTTAATCGGAAAGATCTTAGGGGTAGGCAGTACCCTACTGTGCCCGTCACCCTGAGACAAATTGACAAGTCTTATGTGCCTATAATTGTACCAGCACCCTTGCCTTTCCAAGCAAGTAATACTCACATTACCTACTGCTTAGCGGCAGAAATAGTTAAGGTGGGTACTTCCCTGGATGAACTCTTTCACAAGGAGCTCTACTGCTAATAAAATGTCTGACAGCTGGTCTTGCAAAAATGCAAAAACGCAACCAAGACCGAAAAACCTGCACCGATTTTGCGCAACACAACCTTTGCTGCAACCACACTTTTCTATTACACCCTGTATAATCTCACCAATAAGTAACATACCGTTTTAGTATCACTGAACCATTCTAATCGACGTGTAAATATAATAATAACGCGTAATGTTTTTTTACTATATATATAGCAAATTTTCAAGGCATTGCAAGCAGTTGCGTCCATGAGACTAATGAGTACTGTGTGTTATTTGGTGAATCAGTGTGCTTACATTTATAGTTTTCTGTGTATATAGAAAACGATACGACATAGTAAATGTGACTATTTATGAAGGGTTGGTTAACTTATTTGATGTGGATTTTAGTTATGGGTGGCTATGAATAATAATGTGAAAATTAATTAATTAGTAATAAAAATTGAAGTAATGACTTTGCCATTACGCGAATCCTTTTTGACCGACTTCAAAAAAGGAAGAGGTTCTCAACTCGACAGGTTTTTTGTGTACGTTACGCGATTGCTCTGACATTTGTGTCGTTCATTGTAAAAGTTAATTAGGTCCTTGTGATTAAATTTTGAAATAATGAACTTTAGCAAATTAATGTGTAGTAATTATAATTCTCTGTTTAAACTAGTAATGCCATCTATGGAATGTTAGTGTAATTATTGGAAATGCTTCACTTTTATAATGAAAGATATAACTACATGTGATACTTTTAAGCAAAAAAATATATCGCACCCTTAGTAATATAAGGGCACAATCCAAAAAAAAGTAGATTTTTGGGAAATTTGGGAATTGATAGGGACTTAAATAATAAATGGGATCAAACTTATATAGCTCCATATTTCTGTTATATTTTTTGTACTATATGGGTCTAACTTGAAAGTGTTTTTTTAACTGGCTTGAAACTTATGGAATTTATTTATATTATTTTTTTTATTGCTATTTATAATACATTTATCAAAGAACAAATCTGCCAAATTTCATATTTATAACTTAAATAATAAGCATGTTATTTGAAAAAATAGTTGTAATGTAGGAATCCAGGATCTTAATACGCGATTTCCCAAAAATCTACTTTTTTTGGATTGTGCCCTTATATTACTAAGGGTGCGATATGTTTTAAAATATGGACTTACACCATTTTTATAATGATTGACACATTTGTGAACTAATTTCGATGATTCTTTTTTTGTTGGTAATGGGGTACCTCAGTAATGGTCCCATTCAAATTGGAAGAAGAAGAAAGAAGGTGGAATATTACCTTCAAGGGTGCTAAATTAGGGAATGAATCCGGTTTATTGAATTTCATCCACTTTCTGTTAATCGATTTCAAGAAAACTTCGCAAATAGATCTTTGGAAATCGTTTTCTTAAAAAAGTAAAATAAATAAGTTATATTTATATTTAGGTACTGTTTTTTAACTGTACCTAGTAGTGGTTAGAGGAGAGAAAGCATGCATGTCCATTTTACTATGTCTGTGTCCATATGGATTTTCATTTGGTACGTTCCCGACATATCGCTTCATCCAGTCACATCAGCTACGAAAGATGTATAGAGAGTAAACCTTAATAAATTGGAAATTTGCATTATAGAGTTGCTAAAGTTTTATATTTATATTTTACAGAAGTAACTGCAAACTTTGGAGCAGTGTGAAAATGTTGTTGTCAACAAAGATAACGGTGGATGAACCTGAGCAAAGAAGCAACGACCGTTTATTGAATTTTAGACTTCTTTTCTACGGACTATCAAGTATCCATTGGATAATAGCTGCTGTGGTGCTTTTACCTATAGACTTCTCAGTAGACGAAGATCCAAAGATCCAGATTTATTCTACTTTGAGATTTAAATTTATAACTACTTGGTTTAATGTAAGTAAAATTCTTTATGTATATATTAACGGCATTGTGTATAATTCAGGGATTCTATATAATACCTTGTCATTCTGTAGGTACTGTTAGATAGTTAATATTTTTTAACTATTATACATACACATTTCCCGGGTATTGTATAGAATGCCGGCCGTAGATACGGTATTAAATGAAAGACATAAAATCAAATTAGCCATTTCTGTTTACTTTTCCGAGCTGGTTCATATTCATATTTATTTCATTGCCACATTGTCTTAGATCTAAATACATAATCAGTCGACCCGTAAGCGACCTTGCGAGCGGTTGTATCAATCAGCTGATCCTTATACGTTTTTGAGTGAAAATCCACAGGTACTCAAACTTTCGCTATGTCTTTTTGCGGTTTATGCGGTGAAAATGTTGGTGACGGAGTATATTGCACATGTTGCAATCGGGAGCTCCACTTCCATTGTGCGGGGATAACCGAGGGAGGCTACAGGAAGCTCGGTGCTGACAGGAAGCAAACTTGGAAGTGCAACAAGTGCAAGCATTCAGGCCTAAATTCGCCGCAGCGCTCTGGTGATTCAGACATCATGGCAGAACTTAAAGCCTTAGCACTCAAATTGGCTCCATTGGACTCGCTTGCTGATGAGGTTAAAGCATTGCGTGCTGAAATATCGGATCTAAGGTCACAAATCACCCTAACAAACACCTCTGTAAAGGAGTTCAGTGACAGATTCCAGAAGGTAGAAGACCGTCTTAAGCATGTTGAAGGGGTTGGAGATCGGGTAGCCGCCATTGAAACCAATTTGAGCAAATTGAATCGGGAGACTAATGATAGGGATCAATGGTCACGTATGAATAATGCTGAGATAAAAGGTGTTCCGCAGTCTCAGAATGAAAATCTATTGAATATCATTAGCTCAATGGGAACTACAATAAATTATCCCATTAATAAAGCTCAGATAAACTTCGTTGCCAGAGTTCCGAGTAAGGACAATAGACAACCTAAGCCTATAATCGTGTCATTCAATAGCCGATACCTTAAGGAGGACTTTGTAGCGGCGGCGAGAGCGAAGTCGAAAGATGTGAAACTCAGTGCCAATACCTTTGGTTTTAAGTCAAGCAACATGATTTTCATAAATGATCATCTAACACCATCTAACAAGGACTTGCTTACCAAAACGAAGAAAACGGCCAAGGAAAAGGGTTTTCTCTATGTTTGGGTGAAGCACACGAAAATATATGTGAGAAAAAACGACACGTCTCCAGCTATGCAAATAAAATCGGAGAAGGACTTGGCAAGAATTATTTGAGTGTTTATATATCATATCTCTTAAATTTAGAATTTTTTTCAACTTTATTTATTTTTTTAACTATCTACAGTTTGAGCATCATCTATATTTGCTGTGTAAACATTGTATTCCTACTAAAACAGTGTCATATTTATTCTAAAAATGTTATGCCTACTAGCGGCTGTCTATGCGAGGTAAGTCGGTGCTTAATAAAGAACAGCTCTAAGTTCTCAGTATTAACTTCGAAATTAGTATATCGATCGATGCCGTTTGCAATCTTTGGCAAATTGAAGCCAATGAAGTCATTAACTAATGACCCTATTGTATTCTTTGTAGTGTATTCAAATGATATATTGTTGGATATGATATTTTGTGAGTTTAGTGTCACTCTGTGTTTGTACACACTCAGTAAATCGTGTCTTGATTTTTTATTATACTACCGTTTTTATTTAGGTATTTTCTGCGAATCGTTATCTAATTGCTTATTTTTAGTAAGGTATCGTATGAATATATTGGCGTTATACAGATATTATTTGAACAAAAAGGTTATGCTTTAAAGATATATTACCAAAACGCCAGGGGTTTGCGTACGAAGGTCAGTGCATTCTATAGAAATGTGTGTGTAAGTAGTTATGATATTATATGTGTTTCGGAGACTTGGTTGTTGGATGGCATTTCGGATAGTGAATTGTTTGATGGTAGGTACCTTGTTTTTCGACGAGATCGTGACTATGCTGGGTTAGGTCAAACTTTGGGTGGCGGGGTTTTGGTGGCGGTGAGGAGTGACCTTGCCGTCATATGCAGACCCGAATGGAACAGTTCGGCGGAGGACGTTTGGGTAACTTTATTGATGAAACGTAAGAGGCCTGCGATTACATATAAATTGCATATCTGTACGTTATATTTATGTAAGGAGGAGGGTGGTCATTCATACAAAGAACAACTAAATAACTTTTGTAACAATCTTAGTGAGATAATTTGTAGTAGCCCATTGGATAAATTTATTGTAGTAGGTGATTTTAATTTCGGTAATGATGTGCAATGGAAAAAGTCTAATGACGAAGTAATAATGTTGCCGGTTAACTATAGTGCGATTTATTTAACAGAATTCTTTGATCTCATTGACACATGTAATTTAAGCCAGTTTAATGGTGAATATAATCATAATAATCGGGTGTTAGATTTAGTGTTCTCAAATGACATGATAAACGTAAAAAAATGTGTTAAACCTTTGGTGCCAGAGGATCCACATCACAAGTCCCTCGATATACAGGCTGAATTTGTCGAAATTCACGAATTGAAAGAGATGGGTCAGATGAAATATATTTTCACACGGGGTAATTATTCCGCAATATCATCTGAGCTCAATTATATTGACTGGGTTGACTATTTAAGTTCAGGTACTTTAGATGATGCAGTAACTTGTTTTTATAATAAACTATATGAGCTTCGCGACAAATATATACCTCAAAAACGAATTAAATCTAATACTTATCCGCCATGGTTCAGCTCCAGTCTCATAAAGGCTATTAAAGAAAAATTTAAATATCACTCCAAGTATAAAACATACGGCAACTTGTCTGACTACCAATCATTTTCTTTGCTGCGGAAACGAGTTGATGATCTTGAGAAGGCCTGCTTTGATAAGTACATTCAGCGTATTGAATCATCAATTGTTGAAAACCCTAAAGCATTTTGGTCATTTGTAAAACTGAAAAGAAATAACTTAACCTTTCCTAGTATACTGCACTATAAATCCGTGAGCGCCGACACTGGTGAAGATATAAGTAACTTGTTCGCAGAGTACTTTCTTTCTACTTTCTTGGCATCAGGCCATCCCTCAGGTCAGGCAGCAGACATGAACTCTGACAGCGGTCCTTGTAGTCTGGGTTCTGTTGAGATCATTCCAACCAAAGTCCTTGCTCTTTTAAAAACACTTGATATAACTAAGTCTGGTGGGCCTGATCTGATTTCTCCTCTTTTTATTGTAAAATGCGCCGAGAGCTTGACGATACCACTTTGTGTACTGTTCAAACGATCATTATCTGAGGGAATTGTCCCTAGGATTTGGAAGTCTGCTTTCATTACCCCAGTACTTAAGAAAGGTGACAAAAGTAATGTCGAGAACTATCGTCCCATATCCAAGTTGTGCCTATTTGCTAAGGTCCTTGAAAGGCTAATCCATCTGGATGTCTATGCTAGTTTGAGCAGCTCATTTAGTGATGAACAGCATGGCTTTCTCAAGCACCGCTCCACATCTTCCAACCTCATTATTGCTAATGAATTCATTGCCGATGGAATGGAAAAAGGAGCACAAGTTGACGTAGTATACACTGACTACAAAAAGTGTTTTGATAGAATAGACCATTGCATACTACTCTCCAAACTCCATGCAGCAGGCATACATGGTAACTTGTTTCGTTGGTTTGCTTCCTATATTGCCAATCGTAACCAGGCTGTTGTCTTGAGAGGTTATATGTCACAGTGGACTGAAATACCTTCTGGCGTGCCGCAGGGGTCAATTTTGGGCCCATTATTATTCACTATTTTTATAATGGATATCAGTAAATGTTTTAGACATTCCAAATCCTTACTTTTTGCGGATGACATGAAGATTCTTAAGGTAATTAGCAGTCCAATGGATGTTTATGATTTGCAACAGGATCTTTTGCGGTTTGAACGATACTGTGCTCTGAATAAGTTGGATCTTAATGTATCAAAGTGCTTTTGTATGACATTCACACGCAAAGCCAATAAAATTGAATCCAATTATATTCTCAATAGTCAAAGTTTGTCCATAGTAAACAATATCACGGATTTAGGTGTCATTCATGATAGCAAATTAAACTTTAAAGATCATATAGATCACATTGCTAGAAGAGCTTCTAGGGCCCTTGGTTTCGTGATGCGTATGTCCAGTGATTTAAAGTCTCTGAAAACAATCAAAGTTCTGTACTGCGCCTTCGTGCGCAGTCACCTCGAGTATGCGTCGCAGGTATGGAATCCGCAATATAGTGTACACATTAAACGGTTAGAAGCGATACAGAGGCGCTTTCTGCGATTTCTCGACTATAAGGCTGGGCAACACTCTCTAGGCTATGAGCACCGGTGCAAGCGGTATCATTTTCTACCTCTTATAGTGCGTCGCGAAGTGAATGACCTCTGTTTTGTATCAAGGCTTGTTAATGGTGGCATCGATTGTCCGGAATTACTGTCGAAAATAGGTCTTCGTACTAACACACTAGCTTTACGGCGGCGCCCATTGCTTCATATACCTCTTGTTCGCACAAATTACAGGCACAATTCATTCATGGTGCGTGCCTGTGAAACGTTTAACAGGCATAGCATCGATCATGACTTTGATCTGTTTGTGACAAGCACAGCGACTATTAGGCGAACTATTTGTTTGGATTACTTTGGACGGCAATAATTGTAGGTATGCTCAAACTGAACTTGTGTTTTGTATGGTTCGTTTCATTCCGGTTTGTGAGGGATGTAAACAAACTAATTGTGTTAAAGTTCTGACGCCATCACTCACTACATGGAATAAGTAATACATTACATGTGTAGTTCGTGGGTTTCTATATGGTATCTCACTACAACAATATTCAGTTCAATAACAAAAACCACATAAAAATGTAATAGAAAAATCTTTGACGGAAAGTGAGGTTATAATTTGACAATAGTTTGGATAATTTATGGTCACTAGTGGTGAGCGTAAATCAA